TAGATGAGGTCGACCCAGCAACTTGAATGTCATTCCTAGTCTCTTTCGTCTTGTTCACACTTTCATCATTGGGCTTTATAATCTGCACATTAATTAATTCTACATAAATAATGAACTTACACATGAGCCAAAAAGAAAGAAATACATAAGTAATGAACTTCCACAATTTGTCTTATTTCCAAATTGCCTTAATTATATTCCCACATCCTCTGTCATAAATTTTGAGAAATAATAATAATCCCCTTTTCCTACCCTCAATTACTATTTACCAATAAACATTTTTAACTCTAAGGACATCTCAACCTTAATTTTCAAATGAAAATCATAGGTGTGAAGATTTAGAAATATAATCCCCTTCTATTAAGGGACATTCTAAACACACTACAAATTGGTTTTCAATTATCCAAACTGCCTATTTCTCAAGTCTATATTCATAGATTATACTTACAAAAAATTAGACAATTCGGAAACCATTTCGATATCTAATTATGTTCTACAAAATTGATGAATACGATGCTTCAAGAAAGTACTAAAATCACAATAATTTAATTGAGCGGTCAAATGATATATGATTCAAGTGATTTTTTCAGAGATAATTTTTTATTAAATATCTATAAAATAGTTGCAAAAAATTGAAATCCATCAAAAATCTCCAACATACCAAAAATGATTAAGTTCTACCCAAATCAACTTCTAGAACTGGAACGACAGTATTAAACACAACAAAAGTAGCATATTCAAAAGAGTAACAAGTATATACCATTCAAGCATCAAAAGTGCATACATACATACCTCATAGGTGGAGTCCCGTTGGTTTCCCGTGTAGAAACCACGGAGCTTTGGTAGAAAATGAAGCTCCAAAAAAGTTAATCTTGGGAAACTTATCCTGTGAGATGCATTATCATCTTCCATTCTCTCCTTTGATATGATCTCTTCCACTTTAGCACAATTTTTAACCTTTAAGCTTTTGAGTTGTACCAAGTTTTGTGTTACGGATAGTGAAAAGACATATTTTAACTCATCACAACTGTCAATTTTAATGGATCTTAGGTTCGTAAAGGAGCGCTTGTCTAGCAGTTTGCCACAACACACAAATTTTAATTTGTGAACATTCTTGAAGGTAGCTGACTTTAAGATGGGGAAGGCAGGTTGACCACGAGGAGTCCAATTCATTCCATTCATAAGATACTCTATGTTGTCGTCACACATGATTGATAAAACTTTCAAGTGTTGAAAGCCTCCTTGACCATCTAACTCCTCGATGACATACTTTAAATTGTATGTGTAAAATAGGACTAAGTCTTCAGATTGCTTCAAGAAGTATCTAACTGCTCCAATCTCCAAATATTCCTTTACATCACCACGAAGCATCAAACTCTTTTCGAACAGATACGCATGCATTCGATTCTTGAAACTCTCTTTTTTGTAAGACCAACTAATATTGATAGATACATGAAATCTTATAGGCTGGCTTTTTAAAAGAAACTTATCATTCCGCAACATCTGAACATCATGGATTTTTATGGCTAAGACATTTAAATGATCAGATAGAGACATCACCTCATCAAGGCTTGCCATACTCGTTTCATCCTTGCTTCCTGTTGCTGGCCCCCAATTGAGAAAGCTTTCTGCCATGTACAACTCTTCTAATCTCCTCAAGTTGGATAAGACACCGTGAGGAATTTCTTCAAGTCCATCACAATCTGTTGCATCTAGCATCCTTAACTTATGAAGATGTCCTATTTCTCTAGGCAACTTATTGATTTGAGAGCGGGCAAAGCTGAGGATCTCCAAATTCTCCAATCCTCCAATAACATGGGATATGTCTCCCAAATTGCAATCCTCTAGACACAAGGTATGAAGGTACTTGGGTTCTCCAAGCAGTAGAGATTTTTCCGAGGCCAAATAGCTTGACATATTCACCTCTAAGAAAGATAAAACCTTGAGTTCTTTCATTCTTTTAAAGTGGTTGGAATATTCTGAACTACTTGAGGAATTTTTCAGTTGCAGAAGCTCAAGTTTGGGGCACTCCAAACCATCAGTAATATTTTCATCCAATTTAACATCAATTAACGAAATTGCACTGCAATGTTCTTGGTTTGTAACTTTTTGTACCCCTGGCCGTCCTCCACCTCCACCTTCAGCATCAAATGATCTTACCATAAATCTGTGAGGATCTTTTGAGGCAATTGATATAGCAACATCACGAACTATGTCATGCATTTTGATACACTCTTCCTTATGACTATCCAACAACAAATACCTTCTTTTTAGTTGTCCAACGAAAGAATGCACTTTGTTTCTTACATCTTCGACTGTGTTGGTGTTTCTAAAAGTTGCTCGACCCAACCCATACCTCACCAAATACTCAATCGGAATATCATAATCTTCTGGAAATAAGCAACAAAGTAAAAAGCATGACTTGACTTCATCACTATCCAATTTATCATAACTCAATTTTATGCAAGAATAAACCTCGGGTTTCATTCCAGGGATATTTTCAGGGAGGGAATTTTTCAATTCATGCAAGGCAGTATTCCATTCATGCTTGCCATTACTTGGTAGAAGAGCTTTCCCAACAGTTATGATAGCAATGGGTAAACCTTTGCATTCATCAACAATCAATTTTGCAACATGAGACAAATCAGGATTATTGTCCAAGGATTCACCTACAGTCGCCCTGAAAAGCTCCCATGCTTCTTCTTTATTTAAGGCTTGGACTCCAAAAATGTCATCTTTACAACCCATTACTTTACAAACTTCTTCATTTCGAGATGTCAACAAAATTTTGCACCCTTCATGATCAGCAAAAGGGATTCCTACATCTTGTAATTTAAGCTCTGACCATACATCATCCAATATAATCAGGATTTTTTTACTCTGCTTGATTCTCTCATGTAGCTTTCGTGCTCTTACAGATTTCGGTGCCTCATCCAATTTCATACCAAGTGGCTCTGCAATTTCAGCTTGAATTGTCCTAATGCTTACAGTTGCGGAGACAGTTGACATCACAACGTCATCAAACAACTGACTCGTTCCTTCTAATCTCTTGATGATTTCTCTTACCATTGTGGTTTTACCCACACCTCCCATCCCACAAATCCCAATTATTCTTGTCTTTTCATTCCTCAAAGCACTAAGCACATCATTCATGACTGCTTTTCTGGATTCAAAACCCTTAAAACCTTTACTAGAGATTATTAACCCTAGCTGTTGCAGATGTGCAGGATTGGCAACATTATTACTCAGTTCTTCATCTAGTTTGAGATCAAGTACACGCTCGGCAATCTTTTTGGCTTTCCTACTCAGAGAATACCGCGATTTCAAACTTGGGCACCACGTTTGCACGTTGAGTTTGGTTTGAAGTTCTTCCGCTTCACGAAATATTTTGCTTACATCCTTCAGCCAGCTCTGAACTTGATCTTTGATGGTTGCACCATTCCTTTTTGCAGCATCCACAGATCTTTGAACATCATTTTTCTTGTCATCAAGCTTTTTAAGTGCATCCTTCAGAATTTCTATGTTGGAATCATAGTAAATTAGATAGCTGAGTTGTCTCCCAATTAGTGCCACTGGTTCTTCTACAAATTGAGATGCAATTGAAGCACAAATCTCTTCCATTTTCTATTGCCTTTTTATACAAAGCCGCCAGAGACTAAGGAAATTCTCAAACCAAATGAAACTGTTGCAAGCGATTCCACACCTACAATTTTTATTATGAAAAAGTAAGGTAAACCAACCAAAACCTCACCAATCAAGTCTCATAACATTAAAAAAATGTATTGTCATAGTTACAAGAACAAATCAATGACTCTGCATAATTTTGGGTCGAATTCCAACTCATTATTTATTGTAACCAGTCATTGATTTTATTGTTATCATTTTAGCTCAATTTTAAAATGTACAATCACTATGGCTCTAAATCAAATCGATATAGTTTGAGTTGGACTCATGTTCAGCTAGTTTTTTGATCGTTGAAGCTCAGTTGGTAAAAGAAACGAGCATAGTTGGAATAAAAGATAAGGGTTGTTAAGGTGACCCGAGATTGAGCTTTGGTGTACCCAGCT